AAAATAAGGAAACTACTCGAAGCAAACTACAACTTCAAAACAACTAGACAGAGTGTGAGACGAATCCTTATTTGCTATAAATTAGATCAACTGGTTGTGTTTGTGGTCAAAGGTACAGTACAGGCCACGAGTTTTTCCCGCAAAACACGTACGGGGCACAGTGGACCTCGAACAATGTCGGCGTCTTTGAAGTCTTTCATTTTCATACTATTAGCAAATTAAATCAATTTCCTTTTGAAATATTAGTTGTATTTAAATATTCGTAGTGTAACTATACGGATATTTTAACTAACATTATAAGATGCCCCAAAATTCAATATAATCGTGCTCGTGTCCGGGGAAAAAACCCTCCTTAAATGTGTACATGTACATTCATGTTTCATAATCCTATAATTGTATTTGACATAAAAATAGGTTCAATAGACTATAATACCATTAAGATAGAACACGCTTTCATGAATTAATTCCCTGGTTGTCTCTACTTTTTATTTTAATTTTGGTCAATTAAATTATTAAATCTTATCGGATACAAGATCGTTTTTGTCGTAAGTATGCATACATATGTAGTACATATCAGATGTCTGATTTTACTAATGAATTATTTTGTTAGAATTTTAAAACATATATAAACTGTCTAGAGTAAAATTTAAAAAAAAAACGTATGAGACTCTACATTTTTTACTATAGGCGAATCATTGGTGCAGTTATACTTACACTGAAAATCTGAAGTCATGTAAAATATGGATTAAAATATTACATGTGGTAAACATGAAGATTTCTACTAAACAGACAGAGATGATAATCTTACTAATAAAACTGTGATCAACTTTCATGCTGCATACAAAAATCGCCAGCCGAATTTCTTGCAAATAAAATGTGCAAACTGCAGTATAAATATTATTTCATTCTGAAACACATCTTATGAAAAAGGAAAAAAAAAAAAAACAGTTTGCGAAAAAATAAAGATATTATAAGGTTTGTTACACTGTACCCCCCATCCCCTTTCTAGAAAGCAATATGAATTAGCTGGTTATAATCTACAGGAAACATCCTTACTGGTGTCTGAAAAAGATAATTTACTAAATAAAATGAAATTTAAAAAAAAATATCAATCCTCTTTCAAGAGCCATATTATGTTTGTTACCCCCCCCCCCCTCCCCCCCCACCACCACCAAGAAGGCGATACTTATGCGAATTTATGTGACTTTAAATTGTGATTTTGAGAAAAAAAAAAAAAAAGAAAAGAAAATTATAAATCAGGGATACATGCTTAATATTTATTTTTGTCTGAAAAAGGATGATTTAGGAAGTAAATTTGTAATAATCAGTGTTGTGGTGAAACCTGGAAGATTCGCTGGATGTCAATTGAGTGATTAAATACACTTAATGTGGTCAGAACTAAATAATTTGAAAGGTGTGTTAAACTCACGCCCCCCCGTCTCACCGGCTATGATCCAATATTTTTTTAAACAGGTGTGAACTATGAACTGACCATAAGAATGTTTCAAATCACAGGAGAAATTCTTCCTGCTTAAACAGACTTTAAGTGTCACCTAGCGTCATGCCATTTTGATTGACAGCTGGTGATGCACGAGGATTTCATGCTTGCAGCATGCATGTACAGAGAACGGATTATTCGTTGCACAATATAGTTGTAAATGGGTTGATTAAATAGCATCATAGACTGATTAATTGTGACTTTGGCGATGTAAATAAAACGAAGAATGAGAATAAATACAAGTTATTATTTTTTTTACAGATAACGTATTAAGAGGTTGCATCTCTCTCTATCCCCCCTCTCTCTCATTCACGACATCGCTTTTACAGACTTTACAAGAATAGAATAGAAAAACTTATTAAAATAATTACTTAATACACTGAAAGGATTATTAAAAACATAAATACTTGTTTGTGAAAAGAATGTTTTCTGTTATGAGAAAGCGCTTGGAAGTTATTGTATTGATTTTCATATTTATTTTGTTTGTCTGATATTTCTCTTCAAAAGCAAACGTTTATTAAGCGATAGATCTACAATTTAACAAAAAAACAATGGACATATCTGATCACTAGAAATAAAAAGAAAGCAGGATTAGTCATATTTATTTCTATAGATCAATCAATTAAAAATAATTTATATATGTGCGTAGCGTTATATGTATAGAACAAGTATAAACCCGGTATTTATTAATTCCTTTTAATTATGTTACAAATTTATTTTAAAGTGAAGAAATATTTCATTTATTTTTTTTTCTTTTTAAAATGAAGGTTTAGCATGCGTAAAAAATAAGTACGGAAATATTTACGAGTTCTATACATAATGCCAAAGACATCGGTGGGATGATATTTTTTCTTCCTTACATTTTTTTTCTCATTTTTCCTCCATCACCGCTGTAGTGTAAATTTATGTTTAAATTGAAACCGAGAAATTAATTTGTTAATAGCGGAAATATAATTATATACGTGCATTAAGTATTTCAAAAGTCATTTAAAATGAATTAATTTTTTGCAGCCAATCAAGAATTAAAGCTAACAGGCTCCGCCCACTTCATTTGCATACCGTTTCTCAAAGCGTACCGGTCACAAAATGAACCGTTCCGTGCAAGAAACGAAACGTACCGTCCACAAAGCGTACCGTTCCGTGCACAAAGCGAACCGTTCCGTGCACAAAGCGTACCGTACCGTCCACAAAGCGTACCGTTCCGTGCACAAAGCGAACCGTTCCGTGCACAAAGCGTACCGTACCGTTCACAAAACGAACCGTTCCGTTCACAAAGCTTACCGTTCCGTGCACAAAGCGTACCGAACCGTACCGTTCAAGTGGTGTAGTAGCACGATTTAGGGTCTATATTTAGAGAAGAGACCTTTATATGGAATATGATTTAGCATTCATAATCCCACTGATGTGTACCTTCTTACCACTAAATGTTCCTTGCCAATCTCTGATTAGGTTTTTCACTAAGTAATCATAAAAATATATTTGCTGTAATAAATTTTCACAAAAATTTGAACAGAATGTTACTGATGTCATTATTTATAAGTTAAAACAAAAAAAATTGTCCTGAGAGGTTTGCAAAAAAATATATTGAAACAAGAGGCTCAGGGGCCATTCAGGTCACCTGAGTATCATGTAAAAACTTTGCCTAAACTGATTACTGTATCATAATGAAAGAGATTAATCTCCCATAGTGCCCTCTTTTGCTACAAAGTGGGTTTTTGTTTCTGTGCAACAGGCCGGTGGGACAGCTATTTAAATTGGATACAACATTGATAGCTGGTCTATCACATCTGATTTAAGAGATGCATTCTTCAACTCAAAAATTACATTCTTGATCCTGGGCCTCCACATTTCAAACACAAGAACCCCTGACCCTGGGCCATGAATTTTGGTAGAGAACTCAATGCTGATTTCAATCATGCCAACAGTTTGACTGCTTGATGTCCAGGAGTAAAGAAGATTTTTAAAGATTGCATTAATACTGATGGTTTTAACCCCACCCCTTAGGCCCCACTGGGGTAGAGGCCATGAATTTCACAATTTTTGTTTCCCTTTTCCCTCAAATGCAATATATGCCAAAACTGGTTGAAATTGGTTCAGTGGGGTCAGATAAGAGGTCATGAATGTTCAAATGTTAACACATGACAGACGACCTATGGATGAAAACAGATAGTCAAAGCGCAGGGGGAATAAGGAAGCATACAAAATATTCTACCTTGGCTAAATCAGTGCTGCATTATGACGTCATAGTAGGCAAGATGACGTCAATTTTAGAAATAAGGTTTTCGTAACATTGGTATTTAACTATGTAATTTAACTCTAGAAAATGATTAGAAACGTGTAAACATTCACAAAAATAAAGTGTTTTTATTTTGTTATGCTGTATCTGTCATCTTGATTAAGATCTACCACCGATGACGTCATATGTGTACATCAAGTAACTTGGGAATCGATCATGTCGTGTAAAGAGAATTTGGCTAAGACGGCATGTTCAAAGATACGTAAAATGGAGTTTAAAAGGAAATATCGGACACATTGTGTTAAATTCATATGGAGTTCAATTAATTAAACAGGTATGCTAATTTATTTTCATCGATTATATTCTCTTTCGAAGACATTCAGCTATATTATGTATCCCAGACTGCCTTTCGTCCGTCATTCTTGACCAAAAAATGCAACAGAACAACAATAAGCTGGATATTTCAAAACATACGATTTGTACAGATTTAAAGTTTGCGTTTTGACAAACTTGGAAAGTGCTGCTAGGATCCCGAGTTAAGCATGGTTGTACGAAAAATCTCGATTCATATGTATAAAATTCAAAACAAAGGGTAAGGTTTCTTGCGAATGTGTGGAATAAATATTTTACGGACAAGATTGTGGGATTCTAGCAGCACTTTTTAGACAAAATAGATGTTTTTCAGCTATATTACATACTCAAAGAAATTATCAAACTCCGGGGTATTGTTGTTCTGTAAGCCTTTTTATTAAGGAAAATTTTGCTATTAATAGAAGTCACGTGATGCCATGGCGGTGATGCACGTCTTTGCGTTAGACAGGCTTTTATCTGTATGCAATAGTAAATAACAGTTTATATTTATCAGCGGTTTTGGTAATTTATTAAACTAAATTTTCTTCAAAAAGTCTAAATTTCCCGAGAAATTACTTATATGCTTCCTTAACATACCCGCGAGGTCACCAGAGTAATTAACTAAGGTGACCTAAAAAAAAAGACTGTACTTAGTTATGCCAAACTGTTCTTCAATATTGTGTATTAAAAATAACTATCTCTTACCAGTAATCAGTTGATTCTTTTAAATAAAAATTTTGAGGATCTTTTTTTTTCTTTTTTGTAAATATATGTAGAAAAGTTAAAACAAAATTAAAATGCATAAAAAGTTCAAAACTTTTTTCCAGCACATAAAACAAAGTGCATTGCCCTGTAAACACCATTTTAAAGGATTTAAACATTTTACACCATTTGTTCTGTGCTGTGACATCTATTAATCATTTTGACTTTGATTTTCCTACATGTATCTTATATGTGTCTGTATTTAACTTTTACTTACATGTGTCTGTATTTAATTTCTGTTCAAGGGAGTCTACATCTGGGGGAGTACAGCTCCTGAAAAAAACATTTACAAATGTACTCAAATTCAATGCAAAACATACAGATACCTGGTATTGTACGAGGGTTGTCCCATAAAATCGTGGACAAAGCGTTTTTCTCAAAAAGTAATGGGCGCACTAAGCTGAAATTTTCAGTAAATGTTTATTCATCATATTTAAGTGAATCATAATGTTTTTGATAATATATATGCAAAAATAAAGATTTTATTCTGCTTGAATGTGCACAAGGTATGGTCCTACGGCGCACGGTAAAAATAGCATGTTTATATTAGAGAAGACATAAGAATTAATTCGTAATAAAAGTTTTCAATTCATAAGATTAGGATGAAAATTATCCTAATTTCATTCCTTAATCAATTCTGTCGTATTTTTAAAAATTTCAAGGCATTCGGTCAATTTTTGGCAGTTTCCCGAGCAATTGAAATGGGAAAGTAATAAACACAATACACGAAAAATGGCGACTTTTTATGACGTTACGGCGCACCGGAGAGCAGTTCAGATAGATTAGGATGTTGTAATGACGCCTTAAGAGACTTTAAAGGAATACGGAAGAAAGAAAATATGAAAAATATCACCAGATATTTAGTATATAAATGAAATGAAAGTTTTCTTAGTGAAGTCTTCGTGGTCGAGTCCCCAGATAGTACAAAACATATGGACAGACTGCCATTTGTAATAGCAAAGGACGCTGTCAATGTCGACCGTCGATGTGAGATTCTCTTTTAGTTGAATGATGGTAAGAATACTGACTGTAACTTGCTAATAAATATTCTGAAGATCGCATGAGTGTGCCACATTGGTTTTTTAACTGGTTATAGATACTCATATATGTAAATCAATAAAATTTCTAAATTTAAGTGGGGCTTATCCAACTTTTAGTTTAGCAAAGATGAAACGTGACGCTGTTTTTGACACTTTGATGTTATCATCCGTGCGCCGTAGGGCGATACAGTACATAACATAAATTATCACAATTTGTTTACCTATGCATATATCTATTTGAAATTTGCTATGTATATTCATAATTTATCTACTAAAAAGTGGTGAAAATTTCAGAACGCAGTGATGATTATTTTTCAAACTAGACAACTTGTCCACGATTTTACGGGACAACCCTCGTATATGCTCTCTGAAATTCAGTTCAAATAAAAACATCAACAGACAAAGACTAATTTCTGCCACAGAGACAACAATGTGTGAAACACCCTCTGACAGCTCCTTTTTCAGGAGCAGCTCAAACTCCTTTCTCAAGGTCATGTGATAGATCAGCTTAAGAAAGGTCTTACACAAAGGAATATATATACACTTGTGAATAAGAAATATTGAAAAAGGCCTAGCAACAACCATTCAGAAGATTTGGCCAAGGTTGATATTTTACAAAAGATCATACACAAAGGTCAAGCTTATGAGATCAAAAATGTAGGTATCCCAAAAATAGATCTTGGTATGTTAAATACTCATTAAAGTGAAATACTAGTATTTAGGAAGTTTAAAAGTTATGAATATAAAGGTTAAGGTTTTAAAAATTAAGTTCTAAAACTCTAAAGTCAAGGCCAGGAGAGAAGAAATTGTAGCACCCAAACAAAGATTTTGTCAAAAGGAATTGACATGCAAAAAATTTGAGAGCCCTTGCATCAACTCCTCAAAAGTTATGGCCAATGTTACCTTTTTGGCAGACAGAAAAACAGCTTAACACACAGTCAGACAGACAAAAAAATATACACCATAAAATCATTAATTATAGAGGAACTAGAGGTACTGTGAGCAATGAGCTCACTAAATGATACCCGCCACCTCCCTTATGAATCTAATGGGAGTGTCCATGTTTGGTTTTGGGAAACCCAAAAAATGAGTGAGATCAAAAAGAAAAATAGAAGGTGCACAATGGAAATATGTAAATAAATAAAGATTCTGTGAAAGTTTCATCAAATTTCCTTCAGTGGTATGAGAGGTGTTACGGATAAGAGATGGGTATCCCAAAGCGTAACAGACAGACGGACGGACGGAAATAACGATTACTATACCTTCCCAATTTTCAAGCAGGGGTATAAACAAGAGGCCCATGGGCCACATCGCTCACCCGAGCATTGTGGCTAGGAAAAAGTAGAAATTGGTTTACAATACTATTGAAAAGTGTAAAACCAAAAGTTTGGCCCCGCCCTACCCCCGGGGGTCATGATTTGAACAAACTTGAATCTACACTACCTGAGGATGCATCCATATAAATATGAGCAATTATGGCTTTGCTATTCTTGAGAAGAAGATTTTTAAAGAGTTTTCCTATATATTTCTATATAAAAATTTGGTCGGCCATTGCAGCCCCGCCCTACCCCCGGGGGTCAATGATTTGAACAAACTTGAATCTACACTACCTGGGGATGCTTCTATATAAATATGAGCAATGATGGCTTTGCTGTTCTTAAGAAGATTTTTAAAGAATTTTCCTATATATTTCTATATAAAAATTTGGTCGGCCATTGTGACCCCGCCCAACCCCGGGGGGTCATGATTTAAACAAACTTGAATCTACACTACCTGAAGATGCTTCCATATAAATATGAGCAATTATGGCTTTGCTGTTGTTGAGAAAAAGTTTTTTAAAGAATTTTCCTATATATTTCTATAGAAAAACTTGGTCGGCCATTGCGGCCCCGCCCTACCCCCGGGGGTCATGATTTGAACAAACTTGAATCTACACTACCTGAGGATGCTTCCTTACAAATATGAGCAATTATGGCTTTGTTGTTCTTAAGAAGATTTTTAAAGAATTTTCCTATATATTTCTTTATAAAAATTTGGTCGGCCATTGTGGCCCCCCCCCCCTACCCCCAGGGGTCATGATTTGAACAAACTTGAATCTATACACTACCTGAAGATGCTTCCATATAAATATGAGCAATTATGGCTTTGCTGTTCTTGAGAAAAAGTTTTTTAAAGAATTTTCCAATATATATCTATACAAGAGGCCCACGGGCCTTATAGGTCACCTGAGTATTGTGTAAAAGCTTTCAAACACTTGAATTTGGTTTAAACCAGAGGCCATGAAATTCACAATTCACAATTTTGAAAGAGGCACCATTGCTTATCATAATTATTAACTTAGCATGCTTACTCTATTTACTTAATACCAAGAGGTAGATCAGAGTAACAAAGAGAAAATGCACTTCCACTTTATACCCAGTTGTGCACCTCACCCCAAAGGAACCACTGACCCAGGGGCCACATATTTCAAAATTTTGCAAATTTTAAAACAAAATGGTTGATTAATACTAAAGAGCAGATTTAAAAGCATTAATTTATTTTCAGACTATGTAGCCCTCCCCCCCCTCCTCTGACCAAGGGGGCATAAAATTCACAATTTTATAGGAGGCACTCTTGCTAAACATAACTACCAGGGTATGTGCTTAGTTAGTTTATTTAATACCCAGAAGCAGAGAAGAAGATTTTCAAAGAATAAATGCATTTTCAGTATATGATCAATAGAGCCCCGCCCTAACACCAGGACTCCTAACCCTGGGGCCATAAAATTCACAAATCTGGAAGAGGCACTCTTGCTCATCATAACTATGTGCTTAGTTAGTTTATTTAATACTCAGAAGCATAGAGGAAGAATTCCAAAGAATAAATGCATTTTCACTATATAATCAATAGAGCCCCGCCCTAACACCAGAACCCCTGACCCTGGGGCCATAAAATTCACAATTTTGGAAAAGGCACTCTTGCTCATCATAACTATGTGCTTAGTTAGTTTATTTAATACCCAGAAGCAGAGAAGAAGATTTTCAAAGAATAAATGCATTTTCACTATATAATCAATAGAGCCCCACCCTAACATCAGAACCCCTGACCCTGGGGCCATAAAATTCAAAAATCTGGAAGAGGTACCCTTGCTCATCATAACTATGTACTTAGTTAGTTTATATAATACCCAGGAGCAGAGAAGAAGATTTTAAAAGAAATAATGCATTTTCACTATATAATCTATATAGCCCCGCCCTAGCACTAGAACCCCTGACCCTGGGGCCATGAATTTCACAATTTTGGTAGAGGACTCAATGCTCATTACATTCATGTCAACAGTTTGCCTGCTTGATGTCCAGGAGTAAAGAAGAAGATTTTGAAAGATTGCACTAATTTTATTGGTTTTGACCCCACCCCTCAGGCCCCAGGGGGGCAGGGACCATGAAATTCACAATTTTTGTTCCCCTTCACCCATAGATGCTGTATACCAAATTCGGTTGAAATTGGTTCAGTGGTTTCAGAGAAGAAGCTGAAAATGTTCAAATGTTAACACACGACACACGACGCACGACGGACGACGACGGACGAAAACGGATAGCAATAGGTCACCTGAGTTACTCAGGTGACCTAATAAAAACTTGGTCGGCCATTGCGGCCCCGCCCTACCCCCGGGGGTCATGATTTGAACAAACTTGAATCTACACTACCTGAGGATGCTTCCTTATAAATATGAGCAATTATGGCTTTGTTGTTCTTAAGAAGATTTTTAAAGAATTTTCCTATATATTTCTATATAAAACTTTGGTCGGCTATTGTGGCCCCGCCCTACCCCTGGGGACATGATTAGAACAAATTTGAATCTACACTACCTGAGGATGTTTCCCCATAAGTTTCATCTTTCCTGGCACAGTGGTTCTTGAGAAGAAGATTTTTAAAACATACCACCAAATTTTCACTAATTCTCAATTATCTCCCCTTGAATGATGGTGTGGCCCTTTATTTGAACAAACTTGAATCCCCTTCACCCAAGGATGCTTTGTGGAAAGTTTGGTTGAAATTGACCCAGCGGTTCTTGAGAAGAAGTCGAAAATGTGAAAAGTTTACAGACAGACAGACAGCTGTACAGACAGACGGACGCCGGACAAAATGTGATCAGAAAAGCTCACTTGAGCCTTTGGCTCAGGTGAGCTAAAAAATCTGTAAGTCTATGGAATCAACATAATGATTCAGACCTCATACACTATCTGATGTATATACATGACACATTGCATCTGTAAAATCCAGTAAGAACCAGCTTAAACTGGTTACTTTAATCTTTTATCCAATGTATCTCATACATCTAACAGTGAATTGTTTGTTTTTTAAATCACAGGGTTATATAGGGGTCAATAAAATATCACATGATTACAAATTTGAGGCCCGATCTTCAAAGTTGGAAACTTTTAGCAAATTCAAAAATTGAAGAAGGTATATGTTACACCTGAGAAGCAGAACAAACAAAAGCTCACTTCATCTCAGCTTCTTTAGCCTCTTTGGATGAAATATCTTCCTCTACACTGTAGTCTAGGATGGATTTGACTCCAAACTTGCGATTGTTGTTGACCAGTGGACGAATGGCAACTTGATCCTCTCCAGCCACAAACTGACCATAAAAGGTTGCCTTCATTATCTTGCAAAACAGTTGCTTTCCCAGCAGTCGTCTGCTCCATTTTAATACCTTTAACAAAATAAATCAAAGATTTTATGTGTTGTATGGTACAGAAGCTTTAATTTAGGCAAAGAAACATCAATCAGCATAATTATTGAAGCATTACTAGACCAACTGATATAGTCAGCAAAGCAATATATACATGAATGACTTTGTATGTTTAATGTAAATAATATGCATTCAAGATTAAGAGACATGACAATTTAACAAGTGTATACACTAATTTTTGTACTAATAAATTTTTTTCCCCCATTCTAGCAGTCCAACCGAGTTAATGTTTTGCTAACCATGTTTGCATAGGGGATTACTGGATAAAATAATTTTTTTTTAAAATTCTAACTAAACTTGGTTAAATCACAGTGAAAACATTCATAACATTGATTTTATGCATTTATTTGACCTTTAAGTTCACAATTGGACGCATGCCATGTCCGGATATATTTTGTTATGTTATACAATCACTGTTTACAAGTTGAGAGGGTTATCAAAACAGCGTCACAGATTATGCGGATTTTGTTTTGTTTAAAAATAAAAACAATACATTGTAAACAACATAACTCAGTATACAGGTGTTAAATGAATTAATTTTATCCAATCTTTATGCCACATTGAACAACTTGCGTAATCAAATAATACATAGTGGCACCTAGTGCAGATTGAATGACAACTCACTGTTTTGTTATGGTTTACAAGTAAGGGTATAGAACACATATTGAACACAAATAATGCCCGGGCAATTTCTGCCGTTGATTTGCTCCTGTAAGCCTCTCTAGCGTTGTTGAATGACAAGTCAAGAGCAGGGGAATGGTTGTCTGAACTGTCATGTTTCACTGTAATATCGTCTCTGGCGGCCACTGATTCCTGATTCAGACGCTGAGATGAGGTAAATTTTGTTCTCCCAAACTGACTGAAGATTCCTTGTACATACTTTCCTTCTAAAATTCGTACGTGGGGCAAAAAATTCCGACTGAATGAAGTACGCAACATTGCCGCCATGCTGTAGGATGTAAACAACAAGGGACGCAACTCCGTGTAGAAACCTTATCAACCAATCATAGCCTCCCATTCTTACACACCCCCTTCTCATACTGTAGCGAGTATGCGAGCGGATCTAACATCTAATTTTAATTAGATTGCATGAGATTAGGATGCTTTGAGGTAACAAGTAAAGAGAAAATCCCGACAATAGGAGAAAATTACACGGAATTATATTTACATGCGATAATTTTATTCAAAATAAATTAAATTGTACTAGTCACTTACATATCATGCAACTCTTCTCTCTTGCGTATTTCTTCTTCTTCTTCCAATATATAGTACTAATCAGAGATACTGATATTTTCGTACTGGCGCGTGGTGGTGCAAGGAAAACAAGGTGAATTTAAAATAAATATATTTACAGTGCAGTTAAAAATAGATTGGTTGTATTTACGGTCTGGTGGTGTGGCTAGATAGCTTCGATTTGAAGCTATCTAGGGAGGTGGAAG